TTTTTTTTTTTTTTTTCTCTCTCCTTTCCCCTCCCCTCCTCTCTCTCCGTCTCTCTCCCTCCCTCCTCTCCCTCCCTCCCTTCCCTTCCCTCCCTTCCCTCCCTCCCTTTCATGCCACCCCTCGCAGCCGCCCATTGTTGCTGCCGGGGCGCTGGCAGCCGGGGGGCAGTTTGTGGCACGGGCGGAGGAGCGGGAGAAGCCGCCGCCGCCGCCGGTTGCTAGGTAAGGACCGCCTTCCCCTCCTCTCCCCGGGCCTTGTGCGAGGGCCAGACGTGCCACCCCGGCTCCCTCAAGTGCCTTCTTGCCTGCCTTTTCCAGGAGACCCAGGAGCTGCAAGGTGAACGCCGACCACCGCCGCCGCTCCCCGCCCGCCGTGTGGTGTCCCCGCCGCCGTGTGGTGTCCCCGCCGCCGTGTGGTGTCCCCCCGCCGTGTGTCCCCCCCCGCCGCCGCCACGGCCTGAGCGGTGAGTCCTTGCCCCAGGAGGAAAAATTAAGTTGCAGAAAACTACGTCGGGTATCGGGCAAACCGGCTCACGTCTCCCCATTAATTTATGATTAACTCGAGGTTTGAGGCTTGGTTGAGGGAGCGTGGCTCGCTGGCTGGTAGGGATGTGATATACTCATATTTGCTATTGTTGCTGGTTTTTTAGCTTCTCTTCTCCCTATCAAGTCTGCCCCTCCCTTCGCTAGTCTGTTTAAAATCGGCAAGCTTCATTTTCTTAGCAGACAAAGGTCGATCACAGCTTTTATTTCTGAATGCAAATGTTCTAGGACTTGTGCCAGTCTTGCCTTCATTGATTACAATATAGCTTTTTTCTTGAATGGCATTTCCCCCCCTTCGCCTTTTTTTTTTTTTTAAAAAAAAAAATAGAAGGAAGCTCAAGAAAAGAAACAAAGTTGGGCGGTGCAAGTTTTTATATTTATTTAATATTTCAGTAGGTCTGAAACATTATTAAATGTCCATGTGCGGAGCAGTTCTAACGCAGCTGCTAACAAGTACGTAGGGGTTTATGCCATTTGTGTGTGTATACACCAGGGTTCCTGTTTGCACTTCTCAACTAATATTTTCTAAGGTGACCGTGTGATGATCTTCAGTAATTGTATCTCATTACAATTACGTTTTCCTGATTGTCTGAGCACCCTGAATTTGGACATGAATATTTTCAGAGTTCGTATTTAAATTTTATAATACCTGGCATTGATCGGGATTAGTTTATTATTACCATTTTTGTCATATATATTTAAAATACTATTTTTGATGGCCTTTAAAGGTCCATAAGTGCCGTAAGTGTATTTTCTTCTTTATCTTTTACGTGCGCACACGAGCACATGCTCACGCACACTCCCACTCTCTTTCTCTTGCTCTTTGGGTGTTAATGAAGGAATTTATTTTAAATGTAATACTTAAATATTAGAGTAATGCCATTTATAGATCAAAGTAGCATGTGGATATAGATGTACTGAGTTAGGCACAATTTGGCAGACGGTTATGCACTTCAGATTTATTACTACTATGAAATTGCCAGACCTATTCTAATACTTACTTTGTATTCTTTATGTAGACAAGTGCACGTGCGAATTAAATTATCTGAAAAGAAATGTATTTTAAAGACACTTTATGAGAAAACTAGTATTTTCATATATATTTGTAAACCAAAATGTTTTCCTCTACACTGAAAAAATGGGACGCTTATGTAAAATATTTTAATCTTTTCCTTTTAATTTTATTTATGTCCAGGAATTAAAGTAAATAAAAAAAACAAATCCAAATAAGTTTGGGGGTTTTTCCTCTGCCGAAAACCCCCACAAAATAATTAGAAAATACCTAGGGACTTGTACCAAAAGAGTTTTAAATTCAGGCCATTGACAGCATTGTATCAAAACCATCTCCGTACTGGCATTGCATTTGAACTGTTTTATGGCAACATAAACTGAAAAACAACTCATAACTTTAAGTAGTAAAGCAGTATTTATTGGCCGATCAAGCTCAAAGTAAGTAGAGAATGTTTTAGTGAACCGTATAGATTAAGAAAGGAATTTAGGAACGTATGGCTTGGTCACAGCTAAAATTAATTTCTTCCAAGTACTTTTTAGAGGCCTGTAGTAGCTGCACAGTACAATGCAAATAAAATACTGGTAGAGGGTTTTAACTTGTAGTAGTTATTATAAAATCACAAACTGCTAAACACTCCTCACTGAGAAATTTCAGAGGACTCAATGATATTGCTCCTAATGATGCTGTTTATCCAAAGAGGATTTCTTTTTCATAGGTTGTAATACTTGTTGAGGTTGTTTTCTTGCTGAGGAGTAGCACTTAAAGGAATATAAAATTGCTTCTGGTGTATTAGTTCATTATTTTGTGGTGGCTTGCGAGAAATGATCGCTGTGAAAGTAAAAGAAGCAGAATTGCCTTATTACTGGTTTATTTCACAGTGAGAGTTTCTGGAAGCGTGCTGAAAATGAACATAGCAGTGCATAAGGATCACGTGTATGTTAATTGAAGAAGGATTAAAATCTGTTCATTAGATTGGTTATTCCCGGTTTTAAATTTAAAATTATTTTTAGTGTGTAACTTGAAATATAACTGCTGGTAGAAATATTCAGCCCCTCAGATGAATGCCTTCAGGAATTATGCACATGAGCTAGAGCATTTACATTTTGAAAGTGTTTTGTGTTGGACTGCCAAGATTTTCGTATGAAACGTTTGGTGCATCATGGAGTGAAAAATTAAAAGCATAGACAATACTTTGCTTAATAAAAAGATATTTTTTTTTTTTTTAATAGCTGGCTAGGGTGAAGTTTTGCATATTTTCAGATAATAATTGAGTGAAACATAGTGAAAATAACGTAAGATGCACTGGGTTTTGCTC